CTGAACCCAAGATCTCATCCTCCACCTGTATCCTTGAGGGATTAGGAGGTGCCACTAGGCCCAATGGTCATTTGCATCATTAACATGAGGATGTCTTTGTTTTCTCAGTGAAAATGGAGGCATTGCCCCCCACACATCTCTCTACGGATGTGTTATGACACTCGCCAAGATTTTACAAAGTTGTGAGCTGTAATTGAGTGCTATCTGTTCTTTTCTTTTCTTGGCTCTTTCCTTGCAGTCTTGTTAGATGAGTTGACAAAATTTAGTGTCAAATCAATTGTTAGTTTTTGCATTCCCTTTATGCAGAGCACATTATTGCTTGAGCTCAGCCCATTTGCAGACTGAGCTACTGCGCTTAGATTGTTTCACTGATTGTAACAAATGAGCTTGCACATTTGCTTGCTAAATTTAATTGAGCTGAGCTTGAGTTTCTCGGTTTGTTTAGTAGTCTTGCATTTTTAACAAGGTTCTATTTGCATACATAAACAAAAGAAATGGAAAAAAGAAGAAGTCATTCTCTCAGATGTGAAGACCTCCAGTTGATTAATAGTTGCTTATATCATCTGAACAATATCACTGGGATAACATTTAGGCAGTCCAAGAATATATGTTCATAAACTGCCATTTGACTGGCAGGTTGTAATGTGTTTATTTCTAGCTGTGGTGGGTGCCATGCATTACTGTATCTTTGCAATCTTGGTTTACTTAGCTTGTATCAGTGTATGTTTAATCCAATTTTGAACTGGCTTGTATCAGTGTATGTCTAATCCAATTTTCAACTTGTTGAAAATCCTTACAGGCTTCACCTATCACCATCGGGGACCGCCCGGCAGTGATCGAGGAAAAGAGAACCACAACTCGAGGTAAGCTTGGCAGGGTGGGTTATAGAAGGTTGTAAGGTAAAAAGAATCTGCTACTAAATGTTGTAAAACTAACAAAGCTGCTGGCTGTTTCAGTTAGCAGTGGTGGGAGAGGAAGGTTCTCTTCAGGAAGAGCTGGCTTTCGGAGTGACACTTTCAGAGGTCGTGGGAACTATGGTGGTGGCCGTAGCTATGGCAGGAATGAATTCAGAAACCAGGGTGAGTTTTCTGGCCGAGCCAGGGGTTCAGCTGGACGAAATGGAGAGGGTTATCAGCGGGTGAATCTGAATGGAAGGGGTGGTGGACGTCAAGGTGCGGCAAACCGCAGTTCTGTTCCTGCTTGAAAAGTGGTGGATAGACAATTTTTTTCACACGACAAGAGGGTCACCTTTTTTAACCCCTTCTCTCCTTCAATTGCAATTTGTTGGATAAAAAGAGTTGTATTGGAACTATCAGAAATTTAGGTTATTTTGTTTGTTATAATTGCGAGTTTCTGTTAAGAATTTTTCTTTTCTTTTCTTTTTGATAACCTGTATTTTCTTAGATTATTTTATAGAGCTTACATGGCGTGAGTAAGTTGTGTCAGTTCAATGTATGTCTATGAATCCAAATCTATATATTCTGTTATTTTGGTCATGAAATCCGTCTCCATTTTCTATTCTAATCCATGCTTGCTGACATGAAATGTTTAGAAATATGTCTAGCATTCACAATTACAGAGTGGCCAAATAATGAGAGTCTCATTATCCCAAAATGAGAACTGGTTCATCAAATTTTTCAATTTGACTTCTGCAAGTTGGATACAAAATTTGAAGCAGCAAAAGCTGCAGAACCACCCACCACTGAAAGCAAAGCAACAAAAGCTTGTACCCCTATCTCCAAAGGATAATCCTCAGGCACAAGATAGACTACAAATGGCCCCAAAAGCAGCAGTACTAAGCTCAGAGTGAACAATGCCCCCGGAGTTCCCGGGTCAGTGGCTGCCGATAGAACTCCGAATTCCTCCGCCTTGGAGAGCAGACCTAGTTTCTCTATGCTCGACAGCGAGAGCCCGGACTTCTCTGCCGCCGATAGCAGGCCGGCTTTCTCTGCTTTGGTCAGTAGCTTCAGTTGCTCCACCCTTGTTAGTAGCTTAACTGGTGATTTAGTTGAATTCTGCATTGTAATTGGTTCACGTTTTAGTCCCTAGCTTGACACAATTTTGATGAGGGAGCTGCTAATAAGCTAAAGCTATCCCAAGAACAACATAATTTTTAACATATTTTACAAGACACGGCATAGGCTTGAGATATTGCATAAACAATATAAAGAGAAGTTACCTTCTTGGAGCTAACTGTTTTGTTAACAGAAGGAATGGGCTTCTGGGTAGCCATGGATTGGATGAGGAGGGGTGAGAAAGAAGAAGCATAATTCTCTCTTCTGCCTCTCAATGGCGCACCTCTCACGCTGCTACAAAATGCTTTGGCCTCCATGCTCTCTCTCTCTCTCTCTCTTTCTCTCTTTCTCTCTTTCTCTCTCTATGTTTGTGATGGCTTTCGCTGTTTCACAGAGTTCGTGAATCCTTGAATTGAAGGCTGGTTTGGCTCAAATTAAATAAGTGGACAGGAAGATAGGTTCGAGTGTAAACGTGTCACCGCGTGGACCGACGGATGGATCAAACTGTTTCTCCTCCATATAAAGGGACTTTTTTTAATGAGCAAGGTTATTGTAGTAATTTCGCTACTTACCCTCCTTTTAAGTGGGTGCCACGCGGTGTGGTCCTTTCTATCTCATCAAACACCTCCAAATCTCAAAACCCCAAACTTAAACCCTAAAGCACAAATTCTCTCTCTCCCTCTCCTTCTCAACACATCAATGGCGGACTTCCCGATCTCACTGGACAAGGCGAAATACTTCTTGCAGTCCCAGTATCATGACGAGGAAAAGTGGGCCCTTAACATGGTACTCTCTCTCAAACACTCTCTCGCCGTTTTCGATTTTGTTGGAAGCTTAAGACTTGTGATTAGAATTTCTCGATTTTGATTTAGGCGTGATTTCAATTGCATATATGTATAATTTCCTCATGTTTTGGCCATATGATGTGGGAAAAGTTTATGTTATTTGGATTAGAATATATAATTTTCCCGGGACTTGCGATTCATGGAGGTCGTAGGGGATGTCTGACATTACCATCGGGAAAGTTAAAAGAAGTTTTGTTTCGCAACTACAAGTGTTACTCGTACTTCATATAAGTGTTGTGCCGTGGTTTTTTTGCTGTTAATTATACATAATATGTTAACTTGAAAGCTTTACAAGTGTAAGGAAAACATTGTTGATATGTTAGATCAACAAGTGTTAGTCAAACCTTGCTTTTTTATTTGTCTACGATGTGGAATTTGGATTATGGTATCTCAGTTATTAACATTACAAATTGTGCAAGTTTCCCAATAGCAATTTTTTGTGATTACTATTGTGCATATAAGTTATAACAATAGATGTGCTTTTAGCGATGCTCGTCTGTTTATCATTAGATCTTGGTTTCCGTAAAAAATTGTAAACCAAAGACACATAAGTTTTTCCTTGCTAGACTTGTGCTTCTTTTCTAGACTCCAGTCTATAGAAAGTGTCCGATATCGATGAGTGTGATTTGCAAAGTTGCCTTAAATATTTTGATCTTTTCAGTTTTTTTCTTTTTGTCCGGGATCGTTTCAGATAGTGATGCTTTATAAACAGGGGCTCTTTTGCCCTTGTTATACTGTAGTGAACGTTTCTTGTGTTCTTTCAGAACTCTTGAGTTTTATTTGTTTTGCATGGATGCCAGATGCTATATGTCACTCATAAATCCATCTTTTTGTTGAGATAACAATGGAGATAAAGGAATTAAAAGTGTATTTCTCTCTTGCAGAAATTGCTGCGTGCTGCAGGTCTGTTTGCAGGATCAATTCTTCTAATGCGGAGTTACGGTGATCTGATGGCCATATGAGCTTTTCTTATGTGTTATAGGACGTCCTAATTAGCAAGTTCTGTATGCTTCCTTTGTTGCTTATGCGGATTTATTTGGCATTTTGTTAAATTACAGGTTTTCCTGTTTACTTTAGTTGTGGTGGTGTTAATAACTTAAAATGAGTTTCCAAGCATATGAGCATTCTCTCTTGGAGAGTTTAGGACATGAATGACATTACATCACTTTCATATACTGAATGGTTTTTATGAATTGCTTATTCATTTGATTTTCCCTGCAACCAATTGATCATTTTATTCCTTGTAGACAATCCCCAAATTGTTTTGACATCTTCAAATACATCAACTTTTGCTAGATATAGTACTCAACCCACTTCCAGCCAAATTTATGTTCTTCATTTTCATCAGACATTTTCGTTCATATCCATTTTCTTTATCCTTGTTTTGTTTTTCTTAATTTTCAAAAAATTCATTCTGTGAATCTTGATAAGTGGTGTTTGCCTTAAAGATGAGAAAGGCTTTCATGAAACGGGAATAACACTATCTTGTTTTAACTGGTCAATAATGCTATGTCACACGGGAAAATGTTCTATCCCTAAGTTTTCCAATTTTAAGGAGAGTAAAGAACTCATGTGTCAGCCAAAAGACAATGCCATTTAGAAAGAAAAAATATTGGACCCATGGAAAATGTTCCCGTTCTTTAACAAGTGACGTATGAACTAACCAAAAGTTGAACAGCCGGATGTGTTCTATTTTATTTAGGCGTTGTTTGGGCCAGTGGAACTCATTCAAAAAAGCCCAAAAGAGAACATTCGCTATGTTGTATCTTAGGCCTCGCATTTTTTTCTATTTTAATCAAAGCCCATTGCTTCATTTCTTCACAATTTTTTACCCTACGATATTACGAAGAACACTAGGGGTAGTGTTGAGTTTTCACATTTCATTGTTCGTAAGTTTTCAGTTTGGTTTGTTTGTCTATAATCTGTGTTTTTGTTTTGTTTAGTTCAACTTTTTTTTGCCCTTTCCGCATCTAACGATCCAAAACTCTTCCCTAGAGCCAGAAGTCCACTCGACCGTTCGATCGAGAGAGATATGTACAAGGGCGGCGGGAGCACCTTAAGCTAAGATGGGCTGTACTCCATGAAAATATTATGGCTTCCAAATGAGCCAATTGATAAAAGTGATGGTAAGTTAAAATTAACACTTGGCAGCAGTTGGTCCCTTGCTCCCAGCGCAGGTGCGAGCCCTTGGCCCACCTTGCATGCAATCTGACAGCAAAGCTCAGGAGATACATCACTCGTACGGGAGATCCAACACGTGGCCTTACAACTGGTCAACTGGGCTTTCCTTGTGGACAAAAGTTTATCCCACCTCAGTGAACAGGCCTCTTGCGCATGGCCCACACCTGTCACATTGGATCTGATAGAGAGCTCGACGCCCCCAATTTTTCTCAATTCCCCACCGCGGGTTTTTGCTCTGAAAAATTATACGGCGATTTTCGACGAATCATGATGAGGGATGCTTTTGTAAAACATATGTGAACAAATTCTCTATCAATTGCATATGTGAGTTAGGTTAGTTTATCAAGACAATACGTTCGTCTTTCTATTTTTATATTCTAATAGATTTCTTTGAAAATTAGACTAATGTAAAATAGTTAAACAATTACTTTGTATTTTTTTTTTAAATCTCTATAAACAAGAATTTAAAAAAATGGATTGACAAATGCAAGATGTGGTTTTAAATATATAGAAATAGCATTAAACTTGTAACATTAAAAATTGATTTGCAAAAGTTAAACTGAATGCCCTTAGAAGGGTGCAAAAGAGGATGAACAATTCACTTTAAAAAATGTGAAATTACAAGTGGGGTTTGCTGCTAGCACATACAAAACAGAGCCAAAACAGAGTTCTTCAGACTGACCCCTGATTTTGGTCGCCGTAGTGTCTAAATTCCAATTTTATTTCCTTCTACTTCAGACACACGGCTTTTGAAGGGAAAAAACACTCGCCACACTCACTTTTAACTCCTTCCACACCTCTCACTCCAAATCCCCGACTTCACCAACCCAGTAAGACACTGCTGTAACAGTGCTTTATCTTCAACTCCTGTTTTCTTTTTCTACCTTCTGAAGATTTGCCATCAATTTTGCTCACAATTTACAAACACAATCCGGGGCGCACACAGATACATACAGCTAAGCTGAGTTACAAGTGGTGGTAGTGGTAAGGGTCATTGAGCTGCAACTTGCAAGACAGTGAGAAAGATCTAAAAAGAGTAACCGTACAAAACGTGAGCCACTCTCCTTCTCACACTCTACGCTCTCTCTCTCTGCCTCCTCTGATAACCACGTGGGTTTTGAGAAATGCCAGCTACAATGCCATTGTCACCTGCGGCAACACCTACAAAGAACAAATTTTGTCCCTTTTCTCGATCCATTTCCAATATAAACCCCCCTCCCTCTGCTCTGATCAGTTGCAGTTCTGTATTTGCATTGCAGAGTGGTCGGTGATCGGTGATCGGTGGTGTCTGTAAAAAAAAAACCTGTAAGCCTATCTGGGTTCGATAATTTCTCTCTCTTTCTCACTCTATCATCTTCATTGTTTTTGCTGCTCTTTTCAATTGGTTTAAAGAACTTATCTTGGTTTTTCAAAGTTTTCACGGTTGTTCTTTCTTAGTTTATAATTTGCTCTCCATGTTTTTGTGCCTAACTTTTAATTTTCTTGCAAAAGGAGTCTTAAAGAAAGCGTTTTGAGACCAAGTTGCTCACTTTTCTGTCTGCAATGGCTGAGGCAAACAAAGACCAGGTTTCCCAACCCAACAACAACGCCATGCAAAACAACAACGCCGATTCTGTGAACCCAGAACTCAACCTGGGGCTCTCTCTTGGAGAAATCTACACTGAAAATCCCAACGATAACCCTCTGGCTCGGTCTTCAACGATGGCTGGATTCTTAAAACCCAAAACGACGGCGGAGGAGGAAACGTTGGCTGCTCCTCTTCTTTCAGTACAGCTGCCAAGGTCAAGCTCTGTTCCGGAAAGGACAGGGCAGCGGATGATTAGGCACAAGGACATACTGGCGTTGAGAAGAATGGCGAGAAAGAAGAGGTTGGCAGACAAGCTGAGGAAAGAAGAATTAGCTGCTGTTTTGCGAGAGAGGACTAGCCCTCCGGCAGCACAGGCATCGCAGCCGCCTGAAGCCAACGCCACCGAGCCCTTGAGCACCGTTTTTAAGTTCAAACTCAAAGCAGAGGGATATATCTCTGTACCTGCTGCTCCAAACGGTAAACCACATCCACATATGAAGTTAATTATTTGCGTATGTATTTTTGTTTCTGTTTTTCCTTTGTTTACCCTTTTAATATTTTGCTTGACATAAATTGTGATTGTTTGATCTTATACTTATGTTTAGTTGTTCTTGTAGTACTTAGGATTGCAATTTCCTTGATTTTGGTTATGTATTCTGTTAGATCGCAAATGAATTTTGCCGCATGATGTTTCTGTTGAAAGAAATACAGTACATAGTCAGTTGCATGAGGAAGATAGTATATGTTTGGATGAAAAATAGGAACTTTTGTTCTTCTATGATTCTCATGTGTGTTTGTTTGTTTGTTTTTTTAATATGTTTTTCTGGTTTGTTTTATATATAGTTGAATGCATGGTGTGCTAAAATAGACACCTAATAAGAAGAGGAACAGTGTAGTTAGTAAGAAAATGTAAGTAGAAAAACCGCAGTCGTGTTTGGAAGGTCACTATTGAAAGTCTTGAATTGTTCGTGCATGGCAGGGGAAATGCTTTCCATGCAATTTGGTTAGGGTCATTGATACCATTTGGTAATTGGTATTTTCGATTTGGTCATGAAAAGGGTAACAAAATGGCAGAGCATATGGGAAAGCAAGACAGGAGAATTTGCAGCGTCCATGTGGAAAGATGATCTCCGTTCCTTTTGCTTCGTCAGCGATGTTAAAGATGGTGATGACTGGTGAATCCGAGCATGGAATCCGGGAAACATCCGTGTGTCGACAAAAATTAGGAAAGAACTTGTGTCTGACAATGTATCGATGGAAAAAGAAAACGAATTCATTTGCATATTGACAAATATTAAGAAAAAGTCTATATTCGACAACATATCAACAAAATAAAAAAAAACAGCAGTGCATATCAGCCTAATATAGAATTTGAACCTTACTGCGTATGGACAAAATCAAAATCAAAATCAGAATTTGAACCTTAACAGCAGTGCATGTTCTGAACGGAGTTAGTTTTCTTGACCATAAAGTAGTAGTTCTAACACTTGAAAAATCTTTTGTCGCTCTGCTTCCTGGTATTTTTTACTTCCTTTCATCCTTATGCATACAACTTTGTGTGAACATGCTTGGTAGAAGCTTCTTCTTTGGGATTTTAGTTTGTAGCAGTCTTGTCTTAGATATCTCAAAGTTTCATAGTGACAGAGCTCATGATATTTTTAGATTATTAAACAAAGAGAAGTTTTCCTTCCTTTAGTTGAGGTGGGTTTGGGATACAGATCTTGGCCTGTTCAGCGGCATAGTATGTCCGTTTCTGGTGTGGAAACACCAGTATGTGAGATGCACTGGTAAAGGAAAGAAGGCAAAAGATTAAAAAACACAAGAATGATTTTACATATTATCCCAGTCCAATAACATTTTCTAAGCTTCTTCTGTGGTGGCATTGAAGTCTAAACATTTATGCTTTAGAAGTCCTAAGCAATACATGGGTCTAAAAAGGTGACAGAAACTAATGTCTACAGACCAACATAGAAAACATGCTGCCTGGTCTTCATAGGTTTAAGTGTTTGTCTGGATTGTTCTTTACCATGTCCTTGCTGGTAAACCTTCTGTCAGGAGGAGGGTTTTAATATAATTCAGGATACCAATTTTGATGTTCTGAGACAACTGAAACATAGGTTGTATATCCACTTTCTTGTTCAGCTATGTTATCTTATTGTCATCTCCATGATTATATACTGGAGTTTGGTTCTTCTTCTTTTGAGTATACTTATGTCAGCATATACAAGTGTAGCCTCCACCAAGTTGAAATGTGAAAGGTAAAGGACTTCATTTCTCTTAATAAAAGCAGTATTTATTTCTTATAAATGTTTATCCAATTGCGGACGGTGCCTGTTAGATTTCCTTAAACAAAATCTGTGTATGATAGTAAGTCTCATTTACAACAATAGATGATTAATGACTGCTGTAAAGTCATAGCATTATAGCAGCAAGAACAATAACATTTTGAGACAACTTGCTAGTTTCAGATTGAAACCCCTGCTGATTAAGACTCAGTTTATAGTATATAACTTTCTTTGACCTGTGACATTTACTTCCATTCAATTTTCTTCTATTGTACATTCTTCCTCAAAGATTTGAACTTGTGTAAATTCCATGCAGGAGCAGGATGTTTTGAGACATTCCCTTCCGGTAGTGACAACAAGCCGGTGGTCACCTCTTCAAAAGTGGCCACTTTAGAACATGTCAACCCTGCACAAAATGTCATGGAAAATCCCTCAAAGGCGGCTAGATTTTCCAATGCTGTTGTGCAGAAGGAGGAGCTGACATCCAAAATGCCTTCTGTGAGAACCATCGGAGCGGATGGGAGGAAGACCGAGGGGGTTCTGTACAAGTATAGACAAGGCCAGGTCGGCATTTTGTGTGCTTGCCATGGCAGTTTTCTCTCCCCAGCCGAATTTGTCAAGCATGCTGGTGGAAATGAGGTGGCAAACCCCCTGAGGCACATCATTATCTGCTCAACTCCATCTGATGATTAGGTCAACGGTGGTGGCTCTGTCGCCCCATTGTAATTTTAATGGATAATTGAACACCTTGAGTTGAGCAATTAGCTCTATTTTTATAGTGAAAGTTTACTCTGATTATTATCCTTTATATAGTCCTTTATGAAATAACTTTGGAAGGTTATATGGAACTCAGGTGATGCTTTAGTTACCCCAAAGCACACTAACAATCTACATCAAGCAGACCTCCGGTGTCCTTGTAACTTGTTGGCTTTGTGTTTTATCCAAAGTTTAGCAGGCTTTGGGTTCGAGTGGCATCAAATCGAAAAGAACGAATAAAAACAACTGAACAAGTTAGACTAATCTCAATATTTTGTGTAAACCAAGTTGTCTCAAAAAGGTTAGATGATGAAATTAGGGGCCAATGGAGGAAGTAAGGAATCGGATAATTTAGGAATTGCGGAAGTAAGGAATCGGTATGAAATCAGAGTGATACCATTACCAAAAACTTCAATTTGTGTTGCAGCATCGTAGCTTCAATGCTCCATCATCCTCTATTGAGCCATCAAAAGATATGCCCAAAATAACTGATTTTGTTTTTCCCCACAATTCCTCTCCTGCTTTTCTTTATTTTATGTTTTTATTTGGAGAGGGAGGAAAGGTGAGAGTTGAACACTAGCTAGGCTGTAGGGATAAGCGTTCTACTCTAACTCAACTGTTGAAACTACAAGGAAATTGGATTTCTTCTCTCTTTTTTTCATTCAGATCTCGTTCATACAAACTCATTTAAACAAAATCTCATGCTTCGCTATTTCCTGATTGAGTTTTTAATGCTCTGGATCTTCTTCCTTCCTTCTTTGCTTTCCACTAGAGTTTTAAGCCTATCACAATCACAAGTAGGAAACTCTTCCTTGTATCATTCTGAATTTTATTATATATTAGAATAAGTTAATTCTTTTTTTTTTATATACCTACTTTCATTAGCCGTTTTTAATGATCTCTCACAGTTAAGAAGTGAACCATTCAGTCAACGCCCCAACTGGTTGCTGAGTTTAGAAATCAGCATCCCAGAGCAAAACAACAATGACCTGACAATTGAAAAACAAACCCAACCCAATCATCACCAGCCACGTGTCCAACCTCCCTCGTACGCCAACCGTCAACGGCCCGTGTTGCAGTTTCACGCTTCCATTCCAATGGCATCTAACCTGTCACTGTCAATTTAGCCTTATTTTCCTGGTAGAGCCTATCTATATATTCGAGGAATATTCTCGGTTTGCGGATAGATCCATGACACCGAATTTTCCGGGCCTCTGTATTATAAAACTCCCGGCCACACACGATTCTACCTCCTTAGAATACAAAACAACAACTCATATTCATTCTTCAAAGTGAAAGCTTTGCAGAGAGAAGCTGGGCCAACACCATGGCTTCCTCACACTGTAAGCTGCAAACTTAACTTCTTTTTTTGTAATTCTTTTTCTTGTTGATGGCATAAGTTTTTCAATGTTTGTATGTGAATGATCACTGGGTTTTTTTCCAGTTTTGAAGAAGGCCTGATTTTTTTCTCTGGGCAGTTGATGTACTTCTAATATTGGCTTTCTATCTGATTTGGCCTTGGCAATTGCTTATCTGGGTTTGTTTGATTTATTTGAACCTGACATTTGACAACTTTCCTTGGATTGCTAAATATGATCTGGCGCAAGTTTATTGGCTGATTTTAGGGAAATTGATGTTTAGTTGGAAAATGCCTTAAGTTTTTCTTAGTTAGCACAATGATAGCCAAGGTGTGAATGTGAGGTTGTGCTTTGTTCTACTATTTATAAGTAGGCTCTTTCAATTGAATGAGACAATTGGTTTTCTAAATATGGATTGCAAATAGCGCTGATATTGATCTTGGTTTATATGTATGATATAGTCTTAAGATACATAAGTTTGATGCCATTCTAAATTAGCAAGTGCCTTTTACCGTTTAGGATAGCAAGACTCTATCTTTATTCTCCAAATTATGAAAAATTTACATACGGCACGAAAATGTATTTAATTATGTAACCCAGCAGCATTCTTAGGTCTAGAATTGATGGTTTACTTTTGATGTTTTTGCATTTGACAGGTTTTGCTCCTTTCGTGTTCCTACTGCTCCTTGTTGGGTGTTCCGGGAGGCCATTTTATCCACTTCCTAGTAAATTAGCTGATGGCGATAGACAGCCTCTGCAAACTTCTCGACCATACAACATTGCTCATCGAGGTTCAAACGGAGAGATTCCTGAAGAAACTGCAGCTGCATACATGGTAATATGGGCATATATATGCTTATTAACCCAGCTCTCTTAGTTTTAGAAGACCACTGACTGTTAATGATTAGATGCTGCAATTTGATGGTACTAAAAATACTTGTAATAAACTTCATTCATCCACTTGATAAAAAGGTAAATGAGTACTAAAAGATTCATTCTTGCAGAGAGCTGTTGAAGAGGGTGCAGACTTCATTGAAACAGATATCCTATCTTCTAAAGATGGTGTTCTCATATGCTTTCATGATGTGACCCTTGATGAGACAACTGATGTTGCAGAACACAAGGAATTTTCAAATCGTAAAAGGACCTATGAGGTTCAAGGGGTCAACACTACTGGTTTTTTCACTGGTATGGAAAGCCCTTCAGCTTTCAACTTTTTACTGAATATGATCACGTTGTGTTGATGTTTATTTTTGTACGTCCAGTCTTCTAACTGAAGACTGACCATAGTTGAGCACCCAACTGATAAGTTTTGTTAGTTTACCACTGTTCCCAAAATCATATTGTCACTTTTTTCAGAATCTGTAAGTTTATTGCCATTCAGTGTTATCAACTGAGGAAAATAAAATTTATTTTAACCATATGCAGTTGATTTTACACTAGAAGAACTGAAGTCATTACGAGTGAAGCAGAGGTGTCCATTTCGGGATCAACAATATAATGGTTAGTTCCTATTTCTGGTAAATCACTCTGAATCTGAGCATACATTTTTTTTTTAAATTAAAAAAAAGTTCCTCTTGTTCAAAAATTGTTTTCTGCTTTTTGATTTATTTATTTATGTTTACTTTTTGGCTGATTTTTTTATGATAGAAACCTTATTTCAATATCAGATTTCTAACCATTACTAGCTTTATCTTGTTTCTGCAATTCATGTACGCACTATATTGTTGGTTAAAGTTTACACTTTTATTGATGGCCATGGGTTGGTTCTTGTTGTTAGAACGTAGTACCTTGATTTGGGCTTGATGAGTAACATCACCACTTGACTCATGGTTCTAATTACAGTTGAAAGGACAACTCTAGGTAGTTCCCTAGGTCATCTTATAGAACGCTACACTTATTTTTCATATGGAAAAGCATATATGTTTTCTGTTTTAGTCCTTTTTCTATAGGGGCAAATATAAGGATGGTTAAGTATATTTGTTTCTGATGTATCCTCAGGAAAATATACTATTATTACTTTTGAAGAGTTCATTGCAATCGCATTGGACGCACCCAGGGTCGTTGGAATATATCCAGAGATTAAAAATCCAGTATTGATCAACCAGCATGTGAGTATCGTGAAACCTTCCACAAAGAGTGGTTGCACATAACCTGATTAGCATTATGCCTTTTTCTGAAACATGGAATGCCATTTCATGGTTAAAATTTTGCTTCATCGAGGATGAATCTGATAGATATCTTTTTCATTTTTTCATGACGCGTGGCTAATGTTTAATATGATGACAGGTGAAGTGGGCAGATGGCAAGAGATTTGAGGACAGGTTTGTGGAGACACTTAAGAAGTACGGATACAAGGGTTCATACTTGTCAAAAGATTGGTTAGAACAACCTGCATTTATCCAGTCATTCGCTCCAACTTCGCTTATATACGTATCAAATCTGACAGACTTGCCCAAGATCTTCTTAATTGACGATATCACAGTTCCAACTCAAGACACTAATCAGGTTCGTGTTCTTTCTAGTTTTATCTCCCTAGAGACTACTTACGCTGTTTGCCGATCATAACTTCTTTATAGAGATTAAAGACCGAGCTTAAACTGTATCTAAGTCCAATTTTTGCAATGTAGTTCATCCATTGAGTCTTTCAGTATTTATATTCCTCTCTGACTGACATCAAATTGATCATGTGCAGTCCTATTGGGAAATTACTTCCGATGCCTACCTGGACTTCATTAAAGATTATGTGGTGGGCATTGGACCATGGAAGGATACTGTGGTTCCTGTAGTAAACAATTATTTGCAAACACCTACTGATCTGGTCTCCAGAGCCCATGCTCATGACCTACAGGTAGATTTCTTCCCTGAAAAGACTTATTCTTGTTCAGATTATATGAAATATGAATGCTTCAGATCTATAGATGTAATTATTGGACATAATAAAGTATCGTGCGTGTTCTTATGTTTCGTCTTCTTCAATTCCGATGCAGGTGCACCCATATACATACCGAAATGAGAACTCATTCCTGCACTTTAACTTTCATCAAGATCCGTATGCAGAGTACGATTATTGGATTAATGAGATAGGTGTTGATGGACTTTTTACAGACTTTACAGGCAGCCTGCATAATTATAAAGAGTGGAGCTCCTTTAAGGAAAGTGATGACAAGAATGCATCAAACTTACTGCATAAAATAGCGTCAATGGTCTCTTCCTATGGAAGGGCATAAGATTGTTAAATTATTATGTGTAATTTTTATCTTGTTATCGTAATTTAGTGCAACCTCTGTGGACTACAACCCTGTATAATTAGTTCAGAAATCTTGCCATGCTAAAGCAATTTAGTGCAATTGTTTCATATTTCGTCTTTATATTTTATAATGTCGATTTCAAAATGGTTTGTGCACCACATTTTCGATATGCAAAGAACAAACGAGTTAGAAAATTTCTCCTCTTAAATTTTTATTTTATTACTGGGCTTAATTTTTAAAAAAATTATTTAATAAGTAGTATCGCCGCACGGCTATACTTTTGAAATATAATATATCAAAAGTATATAGCCGGTCGGATATACTACTTTTAGAAGGAAAAAAAGGGACCCCCCAGGTTCTAGGCGGGTCCCCTTTGTTTTTTTTTCTTTCTAGCCAGGTGGCTATACTTTTTATTTATATTATATTCGTGCTGGGTTTACTAAATTGTATGCGATACTTTATATTTTATTATATTC